TTTCAATAAGTAATACTTGATTATTTACTTTCTTACTCCTTTGAACACTTCTTCCGTAAATTGGATCCTGTTTCAGAACTTTTCGAAAGGAAACCGTCGGGACTGCTGGACTTACTCGACGAAGAAGCTCGTCTACCACGACCAAGTCCTCAACACTACACTTTGGCTGCTTATGAGGCTAATAAAGGACATTTCCGTCTCGAAGTAAGTGGCCTGCTAAAGTTTCCTTTTTCGTCCATTTGATAATTGTTCCCTGAAAATTCCTTCATAATCTTTAGAGCCCTCGACGATCCCGTCTTCGTCAACATCGCGATTTACGTGAAGATGAAGCTTTCCTTGTCAGACATTATGCTGGTACAGTATGTTATGAGACAGGACAATTCCTCGAGAAAAATAATGATACGCTGCATAACTCGCTAGAATTCTTGGTAGAGCAGAGCAGGTTTGTCGACTAGATCGCTTTTTCTGTAGTGACATAAAGGAAACGATACTATTTAGTGTGGAATTTATTCGTAGCTTGTTCGAAGGAGCTCATATACCAGAGCCTACGCGAGGAAAACGAAGCACCAGTGGTAAATTACTAGCAGCAAGTGTAGGAGGAAAATTCCGTAGTCAACTGATGGTTCTTTTGGAAAAACTAAGGAATACGGTAGGTTTGTGATGTACAGGGTTTATCGTTGTACAAAGTAAAACATTCATGAGAAGAAACTCCAAAAAAACCTTCAAACGTGAAATTGGATGGTATATTTGATTTGCGTTCATATCCGTGCCAGCGCCGCGCTGGCACAGTCGGTCGATCAATACTGATGCTCTGGCACGGATACAGCGCGATACTAGCACGCAGGCAACTTTGGACGCATGAATTGTATCTGAAAAGATCGCTTTTTTGCTCGCAAAAGTTGAGGTTTTGAGTATTTTTGTGTGAATAGTGTAATTCCAGATAAAACATCAGACTAAAAAAACTAAATTTTTGGTTCGTGAACCAGAAATTTAGATTATTCTTGTGAACCAGAAATTTAGATTTAGAATAATTTTTACCCATTTATGTCATTTTCTGCAAGAAAATAGACGGGTAAAAATAATCTTCTTCGAGTTATACTATTTGTGCTCAAAAAAGGTCATCATTTAAGATAGGGGAAACATGCGAAATCAGAAAATTCTAGGGTACACATTTTGTGCGTTGTGTGAAACCGAACTCATCGATGAGTCCACAAATTTGCGATGGTGCAGCTATTCTGTCGCAACTGAAATGTGCTGGTATGGCCAGTGTGCTGAAATTGATGCAAAAAGGCTTTCCATCAAGGTTTGAATATATCTATAGAGGAATAATGGCTCCATAAATGGGAATTTTCAGAACCTCATTTGCTGATCTCTACTCTATGTATCAACGACAACTGCCACCGGATTTGGCTCGGCTAGATCCACGACTTTTTTGTAAGGTGAAATATTTGTGAAACTCGACTTTATTTTTGGCTCTTAGAAAATCTTCCACTTCTCTTTGTCCTCCTATACCTCCTCTTTTCTCACATAACATTTTTTAGTGCCTTTTCCGTGCTCTTGGTCTCAACAATATCGATTACAAATTTGGACAAACGAAAGTGTTCTTTAGACCTGGAAAGTTCGCTGAATTTGATCAGGTGAGTGTTGGTATTGTAACGGTGCAAAATTGCCTCTGCCAAAATCCATGGTATAGTCAAGAAGGAAATGGCATTTGCGCAGGAAAAAATTAACTGGGCAAAGATTTCTTCAAGCAAAGTGCTGCATAAAAGATGTTTACATGGATCAAATTTGCATTTTATTTGAGCTGAAATAATTATGGTGATCGTTTCAATTAACTGAGGATTAGATGTTCCTCATGAACAACTCAGAAGTAACTGGATTCTCAATTTGAGATTTTTTTTTTTTGAAATTTTGACTGGCGCTGAAAAATTAACGAAAGCTCAAATTCTGAACATCCAAATTTTTACCTGAAATATTGCGCTAATGGTTTTTACGTTATTTTTTTCAATATTCATCAAAACATCGTACACATCTTGTTTCAGTTGCTTCGCCAAGATCCCGAACACATGCGTAAACTGATTGAAAAAGTACGATCATGGCTACTCAAGGCTCGTTGGCGCAAAGCCCAATATGGCGCATGGAGCGTAATCAAATGTGAGCTCGATTCTCCCTTCCTACACTTTTACGGTCCAGCGACCATGCTCCGCCTCCAATATGTGCTCTACTACCGATTGCATTCAATGCAAAGCAGACGATATCCACTAGCTAATGAACATGTTTTTCTCCAAATAGTTCATTTGCCAATGGAAATCTGATTCGATCCTTCAATTAGGTGTGTCTGGATACGGGCTTACTGGCAACGGGTTCTGCTTGATTCTGGACTTCGCCAC